CCTGACGCAGTCATTTTGGGGGGGCATGGAGCTGGCAGAGATGACTCATTCCGCCTCAGTGGCTCATTGAGGAGCTGCAGGGAGAAGCTATTTATAACCAGACCTTTCAGGTTCAGTGCAGCAGCATCTTCAGCAGGAAGGGGACAAGAATGGGGATGGCACATAAGACTTTTCAGATACAGATCAACCCTCACCCCAGTGTTGTCCCTAGAGCCACATAGCCACTAGCTGACTCTGGCCAGCATCTTTCCCAAATGTTTTGCTCAGCTGTCTTGTTGCAAGATTCTGGTGAAAACTCATCAGCTTCTCAAAGAGCAGGGAGGCAACTGTGAATATCATCAGTGTGAACAAAACACAAACTCTTTCTACTGTAGCTTCGAAGCTGACACTTGCTGATTCTTTCTGACTCATGGCCATAGCATTATCACCTCTATCTTTTCTTTGTCCATGTTTATCCCTGACTCACCATTAAGATGAACTCTTGTCATGGGTGTTTTCAAACAGGCTTTATGCTGCCAGCAAATCCCATTTAAACCTCCTGAGGCTTTTCTTCTATACAAGCTAAAACTATAAAACTTCAGCTGGTTTCCTGATCTTGCTGTGGACTCATTTCATCTTTAGGTGCTTCCATGACTCCACATGTGAAACAGAGATAATGATACCTCCTGTGTTAAGCACAGTGGGATCTGTAGTGATGAAACACCACTTAAGTGGTTGTGTTATTATCAGAGTCACAGTACAATAGGAAAACATTTTACACAACAGCAGAGGACAGCATGTGTTAAAGAAAATATTTTCTACAAATGTGTATGTCTTTGTATCTAGGTAACTCTGGACTTTATCGTGAAGCATATTAGCACGCATAAAAACTTTACGTCAAATTAAACTTCTTTGAGTTTCTGTTTTCTTAACTGGCTTTTGAATTCAAAGCAAACAAAGCACCAGGGATCCTGTTGTATAAATGCCTACCTTGTTATTTTTCTACCTCTGTCCTATTCTTAAACCAATTTGCATGCATGTCTGGAACTGGGCTGGAGTTAGATGGCTCCTTGTCTCCACTCTGTTGCTTCTTCCCATAGTTTAAATGCTGCATATCTGGCCCTTCATCTTCTCTTTTTTACCTCTTTACTTCTTTCTTCCTCTCTGTTCTTCATTCAGTAGACAATTGGCTCAGCAGTGTGCAGAAGTTTGATCAGTGTAAACACTCTGTGTTAAGGCCATTTGGTAGATCCATATGGGTTTCCTCGGTGATCTCTCTTCTGGCTGCCCTACATCCCTGTGCTATGGACCCAATGCTATAGTAGCCTTTTTACAGTGGGTTGTGTTGATTATGTTCATACAGAAGATAATAATTCTTGCCTTCAGCATTGGCAACGAGTGAAAGGAGAAGTCTACCTTGCATAAACCAAACAGTGCTGCAATGATAATTTATATCTTGAAGTCCAGCTATGACATAGCAGAGATATGTGAATGTGACATGCACCTCATGACCTGGACTGAAGGTTGTCTCTGCACCGTGGTCCAAACTCTTCCTAGCTGCCACATTATTTTCTGTAATGTCTGTGTAATTTCTGTAACTGGTGCAGAGATATTTGTACCAGTTTTGAGAAAGAGAGACCATATTTCAGTGACATGAGGTGCAGTGTTTTATGGGGGTTTTTTTGAGGGGTAAACTAAGGTGCTTATAACTCATAAGTGATTATAAGTAGAATGTCAGTTTTGGTCCTCTTCTTCAGCAAATTATACACGGTAGATAAAATGGTTCTTAGAGCCATTGGTTTATCCTTTTAGCAGCTGCCCTGTCTTCCCTTTGGCACTTTGGGTAGCCATGAGTACATGAGTATGGAAGTACAGCTGGCTCCCCTGGGTGTCTCATCACTGCACTTGGCCTGAGGCTTTCGACATACTTGAGCAGACCCCTGGAAGGGGATCCCAAGGACAGTAAGTTTGACCAGAGAGTGCATAAGGAGATGTGTCCAGGTTTGACTTCATGAACCCAGAACCAAGAGGGCTGGGGCGGGGGGGAACCAAGAGTGTTCATACATGTCGGAGCCTGAAAGGATTTACTTCCCTGCATTTCCAATTGCTTGTTTTCTATCTGGGGAAAATCCCTTTTGACAGCCCAAGCGGTGAGCTTCTAATTCCTGTCTCCGGCTCATTTTTCACTTCAATCCCTCAGCGAACGGATTTTAATGCTTGATGGATTCAAACAAAATTATTTCTGTTCCTGTGGCTTTGCAAAAGCCTCTAGGGTGTGTGTGTATGTGTGCACAGGGGAGGAGGATGGGGCTTGTTTTCGTTACACTCCAGTAAGCCTCCTCTCCAAGGGAGACCTATTTCATTTCTTCATTAAGGGCTTTCTTGCTGATGATTCCCCTCATGCTGTCCTCTTGGCTCTTGGGTCACAGAAGGACTTGTAAAACATTTGCTGTTCCAAGGGGTACAGGATGCAATGTTCCAGATCAGTGTTTCTGCAGCAAGTGGGGATTCAGATAATATGACCATACTGTGCTTCCAGGAGTAGCACTGGACTGGAGGGAATAACTATGAGAAAACTTCCATCTTTCCCAGCTCTCACTGGGAGTGAGACAACACCACAGGCTGAGGGATGTGGTTAGTGACTGAAGCATTATGTGGGTAATCAGTAGTGTTTAGGATTGACATCTTGTTTGAACATGTGTTTGAACAATTCACCCTACTGCCATTGTAGTGGAAAAGTGTTGCTTTTTATTACTTCTTAAGTTTTCTTCAATTTATTTAATTAATATTAATTAATTTTAAATTATTTTCCACATTCTCTTGCCAGCAGAAATCACTGCAGGGAGCTGTGCAGGGGCTCTGCTTGCATAACATTCAGTAATCAGTCAGAATTTCAGCTGCTCAATGACCATGTGTTTCTGCTGGGCTTCTTCCACAGAGTTCCTGTGTCTGGGAGGCTAAACTATTTAAATGCTCAGTATCTCACCCTTCTATTCAAACCAGATCATTGTCATCAAAATTTACAAAACAATCACTCTATGATACACAGCTCTAATCTAATAAAGATTTATAACTAATAAAAGCTAAATATCCTCATTATTCTTTGAAGAATTTAGAGTGTGGCATAAAGTTGATGATGTCTGCCAATGTATAAAACTACTGTTGTTAGGATGTGCTAAGTCTACTTGGTGATACCATATCTAGATTAAGTTGTTTCAACTTATTATAACTGCTCCCAAGCTGTCACATTGTCAGTCAAGGCAAAAATCTTGTTCCTGGAGTTGGAAATGTATTCTGTGTTTCTTTACAGCATATGCCTATCTTCTAGGACAACCTCCTCTGTCCACAGCCTCCTGTGAATATTTGTTTAGAGTTACTGATCATCATAGATGATGATCTGTATTGTGTCATGTTGTAGAGCTGGTGGATCTGAGGACTACAAGGTGTAACTTGCAAGTTTGTTCCTTTTTATCTATCTCTTTATATTATTTCAAACCCCTAGTTCCTCTTCTAACTTTAGGGTTTTTCAGTATGTGTTCTCATTTTTTATTTTGTTAAATACATTGTCTACAGGTGAGAAGCCCTATTTTATTAGTGTATTTTTCTAAGATGTTGCATCAGAGACTATTATTTTGCATTATAAATACTCAAAATTATACATAGAGTATGTGTGGAAGTTTTAGTTGTAAATACAGTAACAGTACTTCAAGAATTATTTATCTAGTTAATATAGTCTTACTTGTAATTGTATTTTTATTTCAACTTTGTCAATAATCCTCAAGATTTCAAGCCAGGGATAATAAATTGAAGTGGTAATGAACTTTGGAACTTCATTAATAAAATGATGCAAAGTCTGTTAGGTGGAAGAGGACATTAATTTATGAGCCAATAGATACTACTGGCCTGAAGGCTTCAGTTGATTGTTATAGCAAAGGTACAGGCAAGTCTCATTAGCATCTAACTGCAACAGTTTTATCAACCAGGTTTGCCAATAAATGACAACTTTTTAAAATACTGATTTCTACCACATCATTGAAGTGAGGACAATGGAGACTGGAAGTTATCCACAGTGACAGAATACAGTGTCAGTACCACTGAGAAAGGAGCATGTTGGCTTTTCTCTTCACTTGTCTTTTTTACTTAGTGACTGAGACCAATAAACCTTTCTGTCATTGGAAAGTCTGAGAGATAGGACTGGTGTCTTTCAGCTGGAAAATCAGTATCCAGCTTTTCTCTGCATTCCATGTTATACCAACTTTCCTACCTGCGCTGCCATTGGCTCAAGTCTAGGGCTTGCTGTGCCTCTGGCACACTAAACAATATTCTTTCCACCACCCTGAAATGCTTTTCAGCCTCCTATTTACTCATGTATCTAGTCTCTATAACCCTTTAATAATGACATGCTTATCCGTGTCATCTCTGAATTTTACTTGGATATTCCTTGCTCTACTTGTTGTTTTATTTTTTAATTGCATGTAAGACTGCACCTAGCATGGTACTCATGTGCCATTGCCCAATGTAATAAATATTTTATTTCATTTAAAGCTGATAGCATATTCATTTCCCACTGCAACACTGAGCTTTCCCCTATGAACATTTCACTGGAGGTGGCACTGCAGAGGTCTTGTCCGTGTTGTGCAAGCTCTGCTGCTTCTGGCAAAATGTGCAAAGCTGATCCATGACATTTCTGGCTTCTGCATGCCAAATATATTTTCAGTTTATCCCGGTTATCATAGACCATGTGTGGTTCTCCATGATTTGATCTTTGAGCTTACATCTCTCAGAGCTCTTGTATGGCATATTTTGTATTTTCATGGAGTTTAGATCTGACTTGCACTTAATTTTGGACTGGATGACGGCCAGAGGCTGGTTCTTTGACCTTCTATCAATTTTGAAAATTTTGAGGGTGAATAAATTCCCTTATTAAGAGGACAAACCTTAATTTGGATTTTCTGAAAAATTCTTGGGAGAGACACACCTTAGTAATCTTTGAAAAGGTAAGAATCAGCCAGACACATGCATTTTTTCAGCTTCACCTTATTTTTTTTTATTTGCCTAAAGAAAATAAGTTTTAACATTTCATTTTTACGTGAAGTGCACTATCTCATCATGTATATGGATTTCTAAAGAGTCACTGCCAGAATTGACTGGAACCTCTTAAACATTTCAAATGCATCAAAATTCAGTATTAAGAAAAATAAAGCTTCTGATTGTCTTCCTTTTTACTGGCATACATGGCTTTTAAATAAACATGGATTCATAGCACATACACATGCAATTTATGATTTCCCAATTGCCTTCTGTATTTCCAGACTTTCAGCTCTTCAGAACATCTCAGTAGCTTCTTTTCTGTTGAAGTTACACCGCATGGCATCTTTTTATTCCTGATACCATCTGGCATTCCTTAATCCCTCTGCACCCAAACTGCTTTCAAAGTTATTCCTTATTAGTGACGCATTTCCAGCTGTCTCTGCTTAACCCAGTGAAGGCTTTTGCCGTGTCCCTGCTCCCGAGCCTGGGCAACTGAACCATTTACAGTCACGGTGGCCAAGGCTATGCCTTGGGAGGGAACATGCTGTAGGCAGTCCCTGCACTGGAAGTCATGGTGTGGGAATGACACACTGGCAGAGGGGGTCAGTCTCCAGGTTCTTCCAAGAGAAGGACACCTTTTAAGTAAGAAATATATTCAAAATGCAGCCAATACTATTTGCCTGATTATGGTGTATTACAACCTGATATTTCAGTAGAACACAGTGAAATTATCAGAGTAATTGTTCCCATGAGATTCACAGAGAAATGGCCCAGGGTCTCAAAATAAATAACCTTTAGGGCACTTCCTTGAGATATTGTTTTTGGAAAATATTATCGATCTCCAGAAAATAAATCTAATACACCTCAGTTTGTTTATGTAGCATTGAGCCCTGTAAACATTCATGCTCATTTCTCTTGGCCGCTGCTCTGATGTGAAGAGCTGACATCACCATTGAGTGACAAAAGTACCAAGTGGGAATTCTGTTCTCACATGCTCTTCCCAGGACAGCCAATATAAGCCACAGGGGTGTAAATGAGCAGATGCTTTTCTCTTCTTGTGCAGATACCTTCTGTCAGAGGGCACATTGCTGAGCAAGAGTCTCAACTCCTAAGTTTTGTCTTTTTTCTTCTGCACAAGTAGCTGCTGCTGCTGTTATTATCGCTATTATTAATCATCAGTATTGTTATGTGATGCTGCAGCTCTATTCCCCTTCTTCTAAGATGTTGTTTCTGTCACAGCCTTTTCTGCCTTTGATCACAACCGAGAAAAAGGCTTTGACATTGTATGTATTCCCCTAGCCCACTGCAAAGTCCTAATCCTTCTAATAGCTGGAGGTTTTCAGTTTAAGTCTTTTATTAATATTCAGTCTTAATTGTAAAGCACTTCAGTGATATCCAAAAGCCTATCTTACATAACAGTCTTATCCACATTTGAGTTCTTCAGAGCTGGAGTGTCAGGAAAAACCTCTGTTTGATCTGCCTCGCCTGTCATTAGTCCTCACGCCTTTAATGCAAAAACCCATTAACAATATATTTCAACTGTCTAAGCTCAGATAATGTATATTTTTAAATATTTGATATTATTAGAAAGAGTATGACTTGCTGTCATGTACATATTTAAGTGGTGTCGTGAGCAGAGTCTTTATAAAGTCTTCTGGGAGCCTTGTTTGCATCTCTAAATCATCTGGAAAGTGAAAGAAGCTATAGGAAATTTAGGTAATTAAAACATTTCATAAAGTGGCAGTGATTATAAGATCCTACTATGCCTTAGGTTTTCCTCAGCTGGGTAAACAGGCAAGAGCACCTGGAAACTGGGAAATACTTCCTTCCTGATGGTGGATATCCCAGAAAGTCACTGAAAAGTAATAAAAGAAAGACCTTTTTGCTAATCAATAATACATTTTTGAATTACGGGTTTTAAGATTTTAATTAATTGTAAATGATCATTCACTTTCCTCTTACAGTGATTCACCTATTTTAGGAAATTGCCAGCTCTTCCCAATGTTTATATATTTTAGTAAAGACTAGGAGTGAGCCTTCACACTAAAACTGGCGTATTTACAATATGAACCCTTCGTGTTTACTTAAGGAGATGGTTTTCAGAGGATCGATTCAGCTCAGACATATAGTGTCCAGACTGAACAAAGCCCAAAGTGCAAAGATAGCCTGAAGTGAGAGCTTTTCCAATAAACTAATGTAGAAAGCAGAGTTCTAAAACAGTTTGATGTAACTAATAAGCAGATAAAAGAGAGATATAAACTTGTGCTTCAGATGGTAAATATTAACATCTCCTTAAAATCCACCTAAAAGGACAAAGGACATACCAGCACATGTCCACAGTTTGTATGTCAGAGTATGTCAGAGGCAGATTTCTGTTTCCTCCAGCTTCTGTACATGCTGTGTTGAAAGATTTTTAGAAGCCTGCAAAACTTTCTCCTTTGCATCTGAACAGAGAATCTTAAATCCAAAATCCTGAGGACCCCTTTGGAAAGCAGATGTTACTTCCTGTTCTTCACATGGAAAGGAGCTAAGCCATAGTGCAGTAAAGCTGAAATCCCTGGAGGAACTCTTCACTGGGGGGAAGTACCTGAATTTATCATTTCTGATTCAAGCAAAATTTTGGGCAGTAAGGGTGGTCATGAACTCATCTTTTGACAGCAGTTCCCTGCTTCACACTGGTGTATGTTGATTGCCTGAAAACTGCGAAGCTGGTTTTTGACACTGCACAGCTAAAACGACTTATTCTTTAATAATTATGTAATATAAATGTTTCTCTAGATGTTGAATTGTTGGAAATCACTAAAAACCTAAATTATTCAATATAACTTGATAATTGTACTAATGAGATTTTGTTAGATACAACATAGCACCCCTCTGAAGTGAAGAATACAAAACACTTTGCAACAAACTTATTTGTACTGTTGACAACTGAAAGGTAATTTAGGCAGGGTGATACTTCTGAAGCTGTAATTTTGTTCAGGACATCAGGTCTTCTATTTAATTATTGAAAAAAAAATAGATCCTTAAAGATAAGGAATTCTCAGTGCCTCTGTCTAGTTTCCTGTGCCAGTGGCACTGGTGGCAGCATCTTGTCCCTCTTGCTCCATGAACCTGCTGGCTCAGCAGGGAGGTGGGCATGCGTGCACAGGAGCTGTTTCAGCTGATGCTCAAACCAGGTGTCCTTCCTCACTGGGGTCCTAGGGCTGTTTGTGATCTGAAAGGCACTACTGGCTGCTGACAAACCTGACCACATTTTGTAACTCAGCTTCCTTTGTAACAACTTTTCTTTCTGGTTATAAACCAGACGTGCCAAACCCTGTCTCTCCCTGGAGCTATATTCTGCTTATAACTGTGTTGGTTATGTACCAATATCAATGTTCATTAAATAAAAAGATTTGAGAGAGAGCAGCTCTATGGAGAGAGAACAGCTACCCCAGAGATAATGAGTGATTCACTCCAGTTGATCCCAAATGCATTTCAACTCACTATAGTTATTTCTTACTCTTGCCTGTTTGTTGTATAACTGAGTTTACATTGTATAATGGAGTTGTTCCATGACACATTCAGTTGTTCAGCCCATATTTTAGTTGTTGGTGTTGAAAGAGTCAAAGGATGAAAGCAGTGCCTACTTTTATTCTGATTTCCCAGGTGCATCAAAAGTGGCAGTATAAAATATGAGGACTGATGTATGATAATCTTGTTACACCTTAATACTTTTCCCACTGGAAAATGTCCCTCTCCCAAAATAAATACAAGAGGTCTTCTTTGCCAGGAGACTGGCCTGAGATCTGGCTGCTAGACAATGGGCAAGCAATAGTAATTTATTCAGCTTTGTCCCTAAACTTCCAACCCAAATTGCAAGTATCTGGCCTTCAGTGCTGCTCTCTTTCCATTCCCTGAACTAATTCTTAAGGCAGTTGATGAATAACCTTTTTTCTTTTTTTTTAAATGCAGCTGAAGAGTCCATCTGTCTCAGATATAATCCTGAAGTCCAGATCACATTTCAGAAAGAAGTAACTCCATCACATATGTAGTTTATTGTGCTTGTAAAACATTTGCATGCACTTGTGAAAAGCTTTGCTCTTACCAAAGAGCTTTGCTCAGGTCTTCTGAAAAGTGGAAAATTATGAAGTGATTTAGTTTTCTCCCTCCTAAGTTAATTATTGATCTCAGTGTAAACCAAAGACAAGCTGATCAATTCACAATCCCTTTGTTATTTACTATTTGTCATATTATAGTTTTATGCCTCCATACGGTGTCAAATGAAGAGAGAGAGACCACTGCCACTGTTAAAACCACATCAGTTTTGCTTCAGTGATTTTCAGAGGTTTGGAGTTTTTTCCTGGAACCTATACTTAGACCTTTAATATGTTTCCTGCCTGCCTTGTGGTTCATCTCCACGTGCACAGCAGTGCTTTTTACAGAGATGTGACTGTGAAGTTGACTGTAGTTTGGCAACAGAGATGTCTGATATGAAAGAGGTGACATTTGCCAGCCGTGGGCTCTACAACTGCAAAGCTGAGCCATCTATATCAGCTTAATTAATTGCATTCCTAGCTGTATGAACTGAGACTGAGACTCAAAAAGGGTGTGTAGGAAGGAGGTAGGGTGAGGAGTAATTCCAGGAAAATAATTTACTTTTGTTTCATTCCTGGAGTAGGGAAGGCTGGATCCTTTCATATGAGTCTAGCTAGAGTTAGGCCACACATGATAGCTCAGGGAACCCAGTTGTATCTGTTCCATTGAAAAGCAGAATTTCTCTTACATCTTCTTTCATGTTATTTGGTTTTTTTTACAAGCTAAGAAAGGGTTGGGGCATCATCTCTGTGTGAAATGTGGTCTCCTTCTCTGACTGGCCTCTCATGTGCCAACACATGAAGTTGTAAAGACAAGGTCAGATCTGTGCCCTCACAAAGCATCACAGTGAAAAGGTTTGTTGCTTCTCTTTGGAAACAATTTCCCTCTTCCACACTCATGATTGCACTTACCTGTTTTTCCCACGGCAAACTTTGTGGACACAGCCTGGCCCTCTTGCCAGTCCTGTATATTTACATTATAATGTATGGGGAGCTTCACCTTTGTCCCTACACACTTCTTCTGCCCCTTATCTCTCTGTCATCTGGTTTTTCTGCAATTGTGTTTTTCCTGTCATTCATCCATTTCTCTTGTGGACTGTTATTTTTGTTCCATTGCCCTTCATCCTCCTTTCCCATTCCTGTAGGCTTATTACAGGATCCCACTGCAGCCTTTCCACTTCGGTGCTATTTGACCATAGAAAACGGTGACATTCAATTTATCTGCCACTGTCCTGACAAATACAAAGGGAAGTTCTTCCTTTGCAATCAGGATGCAAGTAAAACGGAAGGATGGATTTGAGCACAGGGATTACAGCTGGAACAATAATGCCTTTGTAATACTGTCAGGATTATTCCTCTCCTGTGGAGAAAAACTTGAGGAGCAAAACCAAGTCTTCAAGCAAACAGAATCTCCAGCTGTCAATGCTTTTGCTTCCTCTGGAGGAGACACATGCCTGTCTAAATACAATATGCTTGAAGACCAACACTTGGCATCTATATGACTCTTGAAACATTATGTGTTTCTAAAATCCTCTAAAAGCAATGGATGGGAAAGGGAAAGACCTTAAATGAGGGCTAGGCAATTCATCTTTTACAGGACAGATTCCTGATTAGTATCCTGATTCCCAGCCCAGGCCAGCTTAGACTTCAGTTTGCTTTAGCAATTGTTTGTATGATATCATACTTACCCTAGATGATTATGTTCTTGAAAATGCAGGCAGGAGAAATAATAAAGACTAAACAAGCATCACAGACATTTTGTGCCTTCCCATCAACAGCTTGCTGGAGACTTCTTTTAATGGGCAGTACTCACACATTTTACTCTTAAACTCCTTTTCTAGGCCTTTAACTGAAATGGAATTCAGGGCAGGCAATGCAGCCCTTGTTTGTTTTAACAATATTCCCATTTTTGTCAAAAATCTTCTCTATGCACAAGTGAAGCCAAAAAGAATTGACCAAACCTTTCCCCCAAAAATGCTCATGCATCTGCTCACGGGCTTGCTTTTTGATAAGCACTCTTACAGAAAGCCACGATTTTACATTTGCAGGCAGTGCTGTTTGTCATTGCACGCTGGAATTGGATCTACCTTCCCCCGCCAGCCTCAGGCTACTCGCTTGCTCCAGAATCCCCCAGGTTGGGGAGGGAGCACAGCTCCTCTCTGGCTTGGCCTTGGACTGAATCACACGGATAGTTTAACTCAGCTCTGTCTCAGGAAGCAGTGAGCGTGCATGTTACATAATATAATCTTCATGTCTTGAGGATTCAGGCCTGTCCTCTTTTGTGCTGCCAGATGGAAGAGGAGCCACGCTGTCTCTGGAGAGATGTCCCTACACATCTCGCTGCTCAGCTGTGCTGGAATTAATGTGCTTCTCTCTGCAGCGGGGCACTGTTTTTCCCTGGCATTTGGCTCCAGAATAACTAGCTCTTTAGTATGCAGTGGATGCTATACAGCCACTGGGATCCCAAGATTAATTTGTCTAGAAAAAGAGATACATGAAGAACCTCCAAAAGGAATTTGTGGGAGGATGTACTCCAGATCCTCTCAACAGCTATGGTTTGTTCCCAGCTGAAACCAGCTGAAATACAGGTGTTGTGGACAGCCAGGTTTCTGCTTTGTGCTCTCACTCTGTCCCATTACAGTTTTTTCAGCTGCTGCTGCTGTTTTGTTACTCAGTTCTGTAACATGCCCCTGACTGCATTGTTATTGCCTCTTTAGTTAGGCCGTTTCATGCCCTGATCCCTGACGTGCTCTCCAAAGTGATGAATCACACCTGCACTAGTGAGTCCCTTCTTGCTAATGAGACATATGCTCCAAATTCTGCAGTGCTCAGTTGATTGAGGCAAGGAGCTACAACCCACCTGTAGACAGAAATGGCACTACAGTCCTCAGGAATAGCTCAAAAGACCCCCAGGGAGGGTGAGGGCAGTGTTAGTCAAGCTAGCAAGAAATCTTACCTGTGGGACTTCCTCACAACAATGCCTCATCAGCACCAGCTGTAACTCCAAAAACAGCAGCTTCTCTAGAAGCAATGTTACATCCTGATGGAATTAACTCCCCAAGACATGGAGCTATTGAGAAATATTCCCTTCAGCCTCCTGCTACTGCTGAGATTCCTGGCAGAAGGACCTATGTAGCAGCCATGGCTCCAGCAATGCAGGTGCAGTAGGGAAAGCCAGGAGTCATGCTCAACCACCCATGAGTAGTGATTCTGCACTGCTGACAACAAACGGGAGCAGCCTGTTCTGAAATAAAAACCAGCCCACAACAAAACCCCAAAAGGTACCTTGGCTATAATTAGGAGCTGAAATGATGCTGCAGGTTTGAGTGGAAAGTTGGTGCTTGACAAACATCCCTGCCATGAACCCCTTCAACAGCCCATTCAGCCACCACAGCAGCTGCTGCCAAGCGTCCTAAGCGGGAAGGGGGCAGAGGGCCCAGCCTCTTCTGCTCTCTGCCATCCATAGGATGGATGGAGGGCACCTTGGGCAGGAATTGCACTTGGCTGCTGTGCATCTGATGCTGATAGCACAGCTGAGGAGATGAAGCAATGCTGAGCCAGGGCTGCAGCATCTTCCTCTTTCCATGGCAGCTTTGCCCTGACCAGCACAGGTATCTGTAGTGGTGGGGGCACAGCAACACAGGCTGCAATGGGACCCCAGGCTGCAGAGAAGTTGCTCTTGTATTGTTGAAGAGAAGACTGTCATCACATAGTAACTGCTGTGCATGTGCCAGCAAGAGCAGAGTGAGCATGAGTAAGCTTATTATGCGATAATCACACCTTCATCTTTCTGGGTGGATAAACTGCTGAGGTATCCAAGTCTGGCAGTGAGGCACAATCACTGTCTGAGGATGAGCAAGAAGCAACTGGGACCTTTCCCCATTGGAAATGTCTCATTTGATGCCATTATCTCTTTCTGTTTTTAAACAGAACATCGTTATTGAACCACCTGTTGCCACTTAATTACCTGTGTTTGATTACAAAGATGTTAAGTAATCGGCTTTTTAGGTACAAACTCCTTCATTTTTATATCCTTGCATAATGTCCCCTAGCAAAGCTTTTATGTCCATTTCAAAAGCTGCATTAAAACTTCTCCTGTGAGCTATGTCAGGGACACAGAGGCCCAGCCTCCTCTCCTGAACTTTGTGAAATCTGGATCAAGACTTTGAATCCTCTCCGTTATACTGATCAGACCTATAGCTGCCGACCTCTGGGGCAGTGTCCACCGCGGCCCCGTGTCGGTAGGCTGAGCACACAGGTGGTGCACTCAGGTGGGCCACGACCCCCAAACCGTGCTGGGTCCTGGTTGCGGTGCAAAGGAACTGTCCGAGGGGCACACGTGTGGGCAGGTGGGTCACCGCGCTGGGCAGGGGTGCTCACCTATCCGGCTCTGCCCTCGGCGGCACTGAGCTCCTTCCGGGGAAGCCTCGGGAGTCAGGCCTCCCCCACCGTCGCCCCCGGGACGCCGCCAACCTCGCCGTCCGCGCCGCCGGGGGCGAGGTCCCGCGGCTCCCGCCCGCCGCCGCGCCTGGGGCTGCGGCCCGGCGGCCCCACCGCCGTGCCCGGGGCTGCCGGGCCCTGCACGCCCGCCGCGCTGCGGGAGCGCCGCCCGCCGCCGCCCGCACCCCTCGGCGGCGCCGCTTCGCCTGCGGCGCGCCCCGGCCCGAGCCGGCCCCCGGCGGGGGCGAGGCCCCGTCTCACCTGGAGAGGCGGTGGCGCGGAGGGTGGGGGGGCAGAGCCCCGGAGGGGGAGACGGTGCCCGCCGGCCCCCGCCGGAGCGCCCCTGCCGCGGCCTTTGTCTGCGCTGTCACATGGGCCGCGGTGCGGGATTTAAGCGGGTCTCCGCAGGACATGCCGTGAGCGGCGCGCCGCAGCCCTGCCCGCAGCGGCAGCGCTCCGCCCGGCCGGGGATGCGGCTCTAGCGGCCCCGCGATGAGCGGCTCCTCCATGGCGAAGAGCGAGTCCCGCACTTCGCTGCTGAAGGCGGCGGGGAGCCGGCGGGCGGCGGGCGGCCAACCCCAGCCCCGCGGCAGCCGCGTCCGGGACGGCAAAGGACAAGGCGGGCAGATGGGGAGGGAGCCGAGCCAGGAGCAGCTCCCCGGCGAGCCCAGTGCCCGCAGGCCGCTCTGCCACCCAGGCGCCCGGGAGGACGGAGCGAGGGGCGCGGGGAAGCTGTCACATGGACGGGGGGAGACTCAGCCCGAGCCGGCGGAAGGAGGTCCAAGGAGAGGCAGCAGCAAGGAACCGGTGCGGACATCCAGGCAGCATCACCACCTCCCGCCGCACGCCAGCCACGGTCACCCCCAGGACCAGCATCAGCTCTCAGACAGGGATGGGGAGGAGGCAGAGGAGGACTTTTTCTTCAGTCACAGGCAGAGGTCCAGCAGAGAGTCCCTGAAGCTCTCGGAAGGCGCTTCACCTCTGTCCAAATCCAGCAGCAAGTGCTCCACCAAGTCCAGCGGCAGCGATCGGTCAGTGGAAGCGGATCCCCTCATCCAGCAGCTGCACCCCATGCTCAGCTCGGTCTTTGGCCAGGTAAGGGGCAAAGCGCCCCTCGCCACCCACCCCTCCCTCTCTTCCCGCCCGCTTTCCCTCCGCGCTCCCTCCTCCTGCGGCTCACGGACCTTCGGCTCCTCGCTCCGGAGCCCCCCGCGGCCCCGGGCACAGCCCGCAGCTGTAAATGCACTGCTTCCTGGCCGCCCCTGCCGAACTTCTCCCGGCGCTGCGGCACGGCCGGGGGCGCTGCGGGGTCGGCCCCGAGGAGGGCTCCGCGCCGGGGACGGGGCGCGGGTCAGAACCCCCGGCGCCCGCCCGCCCGCGCCGCCGGGCGCTGCGGAGGGCGCTCTCGGTGGTGCTGACGGGGGAAATGCCGGTGCTTTTCCGGGGAAGTTGTGGCTCTGCCTGCTGAGGGTGAGAGTCAGAGAAGCGGGTTTTTAAAAGCTATTTACTTATTAGATTCCATCTCTCTGGCTCCCCGCCTTGCTTTGCTGTATTTGTTTACATCTCCTCATGGTACATTTCTGTACAATCAGCATATGAATCATTTCTGATGGCAGAAGCTGTCAGGAGAAGGTAGTGGGGAGGACGACAAAAAAAAAATCCTGACCCAATTCCGAAGCCTTCCCAGTCACTATGTTAGAATGGAACAGATGCTTTTGGTGTTTGCCAGCTCTTTTGGTACAAAGCTGTCGCTTTTAGCTGCTTTTGGTAGTGAAATTACCCAACACGGTTACCCTCTAAAAATGAAAAGGCAGAGGGAGACAAGCTTGAAATTTTCTTTTAGAGACATCTAGGGATGTTACTGGAAAATGTAATCTCTGGGAAGATTAATGTAACTGCAATCTTCCAGAAGCACAATTATAGGTATAAGCCAGTAGCCTGGGTGGCCAAGTTCCATCCAGCCATGGAAATGATCAATTAAGCCAGAATTATGATTTCTGGAGTTTGTTATCATTGAGTCTTTTCTTTCTTTCTTTCTTCTCTTTCTCTCTTTTTTTCCTCCACTTTTTTTTTTTTTTTTTTTTAATGTGTGTTTGGGAGGCTTTGCAGGAAGCCCATTCAGACTGAGATTATGGAGAGAATTAGAAAAATTTTTGTAATTGGATTGAAGGAGGTGATACACCCGTATGCTTAATATGGGACTGTTGTCTATTTTTGTTCATCTTGACTTCTCCAGATAAAAATCAAAGCACATCTGTTCTCTCCAAAGCACAGCACTTTTCCATCCTCACTGACAGTCTGCTGTTTAGGAATTTTACAGTTGTGTTTAACTTAAAACAGTATTACCCTCCCTGTACCAATGGTGCATCCAAAGTCTAGTTAAAAATTTTGTTGTCACAATAAGGAAGAAGACTGGTTAGTAGACTGATGCTCAACCAGGTTACAGAAAGCCATATTCCAGCCTCAGGCTTTGAAATGCATGTTCTTGGCTCTGACTTACGCTGTAGTTCTGAGCGAAGTGAAGATGTATCCAAGAAAAGATTTTAAGTCTATGGAGCTGTATGTTCCCAAAGCATCAGAAATACAAACAAATTCATGCCAGGTCTCCCACTCATGGAAACTCCTCTGGTTTTGAGCTCAGTACTTACCTGAACAGCATCTTTATTTTACCTGCTCTGCTGCTCGCATCCCACTGTCAAAAGAAATTTCTGAAAGCCGTACATGTAGCAAAATTTACCTGTGGTGTTCAACAATGCCCTTTACTGGAATGAGAGCGATGCAATCCTAATTTTCACTTTTTCGCTGAGTACATTGCACCAGTGCTTACACACACACACCAGCATCTTTCTTTTGGAATGTAGTGTTATTTATTCCATTTTCTCTCTGTATTTATCTCTTACTTGCTTTCTTTGAAGTAACTGTGACAGAATGAAAATTTAGTGGAGATTTTAGATCTGACTTTTAGGGCCGTAGTAGATCCCCCTGTACAGGGTCAAGATAGGGAACTATAATTTTTTATAATTTAGGGCACACAAAGAGCTGGTTACATGAGATGCATGAAGGTGGTTTTTTTTGTTTGTTTGTTTTTGTTTTTTTTTTTTTTTGTAGTGATGTCAAAATCCTGGAATGAATAAAGGCCCAGGGATAAGATGTGTGGAAATTCTGCCATGGCACAGAATGATACAAATTTTGTTTCTGTGAATGAAGAAATAAATGCCCAGCATTTTGTAAAAATGTGTGTGAAGGTTTGAAGCAGGCAAGGATTTACACCTGCAAGAGCCCAGTCTGCAGCCTAGGCTGTGGCAGGGTCATGGGTGCAGACATGTCCAGGGTTGCAGTCTGAGGCTGCAGGTGCCGTAACACCAGTCTGCTCAACATTGTGATTAGAAGACAGCAATGGCTCAGCAGATAATTCATTTAATATGAAAACTTCTTTCTAGCCCACACAGCCCACTTCGAAACAGTTAAAACAGTAATTTTGCAGTACACAGGAGAGGAGCACAGTGATGCATATCACAGCAGCAGAGCACTGTGGTCCAGCAGCACCAAGTATATCTTGTTCCAGCTCTACAGATGTGGAACATCATCTCTCTGTTCCATGGTGGTGCAGTGATGTGGTCGCAGATGCAGACACTACAGTAGTACAATCAGATACACAGAAAAGATTGCAGGGATGACTCCATGGAGAATGTCATTATTGCAGTAACAGCAAAAAGGAGCAGTTTCAGGACTAGAGGGTTGTGTCTGAGGGAGACAGATTTGTAGCTGTGCAGAAAAAAAGACAGAGTGAAGGAAGAAGCGCTGTGTTTATATAACCAGCACAGCAATATAGTGCACTGTGGGTGTGTACTCCAGGAGAATGCTAAGATACTGCCAGGATACAGGATGCAGTGATATTTTATTAATTTGCTTATGCTATATTGGTGCAGTGATGTTCTAATACCATTAAGCAGTAATACTCTTTTAGGATATTTTACCATTTTGTAATTGAGTGGTACAGGAATTAACAAAAGTAGGGTAGTGTAATGATGCATTAATTATAAGCCAGGATGTCATCTTAGCCTAATTACATGCTTGCACACCGGCTCAGCACAGCAGTTGCAGAGCAGTCTGCTGTGGACTTTATGCTGGGTTGGGATGCAGTGCATGCAGCTCCGAGTGTCTGGAGAACACAGCATTGACAACGCAGTGGTGTGGTAATGCAATCCTGGGGCAGAGCAGAGATGTGATACTGGTGCCATGTGGTAGGAGTTTGGCAGTGCACGGGTGCGATAATTGTGGAGTGTTGTAGCCTGACAGAAGAGTTTAGCAGTCTACTGATGTAGTAATACAATATTCCAGACTAGAGCCATTCTGTACAGCAGTGATCGCTTCTGGTGTGATATTTGCAAAGGGCTGCACTGATCTGACAGCACCATCCCGCTGTAGCAGAAGGCAGCAAATCGAGTATTACCACCATGCCGCAGTTTTTGGAAGCACAGCTGAGTTAGCAAGAGGACAACGCCACAGACTTACCTGGTGACAGTGAAGTGTGAGTATGGGCTGGTTTTATGCGGGACAGTGGGACAGTAGTGTCTTAAAGTGGCCTTACAGTGGTAGAAGCTCAGTGCAGTGTGAGAGCAGTGCTGTGACTCTCAGGTGTAGATGGCAAGGGATGTGTGTATGATAATGCAGCAAAGTGGGAAAGAACAGGGAGCACAAGGAAGATGTTTCATGTGATTTTGGCCTGATAGGATAGTGTTGGAGTGGCCAAGTGGCAAAAGTGTGTTGTGAAGCATAAGGGAGCATAAGCTTATTACCCCTGCAGAGCAGAAGAGCATGAGGGTCCTGTAAGTGTCTCTAGTGTGGCTACAGATGACGGGTTCAGCTACAGAAGAGGAGTGGTGACCCCTCAGCAGCTGGGATGGTGGTGAGGTGGCAGCCTGGCAGCAAAACACAGTTTGTTAGTGTGACAACAGTAACAACAGCAGCACAGAGACCGGGACAGCAGTGCGGTGGCAGCAGGACCGCAGTGTAAGTTTTGTGGCATTCCTGGGGCAGCGGTGATGTGGCTGCAGTGCCCACGGTGCAGCAGCCGCTTGGCACCTGCCTCACCACGGCTCTGTACAGGGACTGCGGCACAGACAGACACCGGTTCTCATCGCTTCATCCTCCTGTGCCTCAGCACTGGGCTAGCTGGCAGCTTCGAGAAGAGCTTTTTCCGGGCATTTGCTATGCAATATTAATTTGTAAGCGATCCTGCCATGTGAGACCTGAACGTTTTCAGAGCCGTTTAGCTTTCACACCCTACTTGACTGTTAAATTTTTCAGTGAAGTGATTCCCCAACAGTTTTCTGTCAATTGCCTCTGGTAG